TTTATACTTCCCAGTTCTCTGCCAAAATGTCAAGCTTGGCTTGTACCTCCTTAAACACAGTAAAAATAGTTAGGTGAAGGCATTCCTGCATTTTGCAGTGTCTGGAGTCCCCGCTGGTCTGTTTCTGTTGTCCACTGTCTCTGTATGTTCTTGCTTATGGGGTCTTGCCCCCTCATATATTTGGTTATCTTTGGTTGTATAAGGGTTGGATTTGAGAAAACTATTTGTAAAACCAATTTGAGGTTTAGGCTTATGCTATTTTCCTCCAGAAAGGGTTTTTCACTGGTATCTTTAAAGTAGCTAAGAGTAGGGATGGGGAGGGCCCTATCAGACAAGAACCACTTTTAGTTCAAGTTCAAAGCTTGAAGGTTCCCAGGACACCTAAATATCAGGAAGCTGAGTGAAAGCCCACTGTGGCCTGGTTTATTTCCCAACATACAGAGCCTTGGGGTCCCAGCCTAGTGTGATAAAAAAATATGCCAAATTCCATTCCCCACCCTTGGAGGGCCCTTGACTCCTAGGGCATCCTCGTAGCTACTTCTGAATCAGTAAATGCTCCCAAGGACAAAAGCACCTCTCACACTGAGGTCATCTTTCTGGGTTCCTGTCTACTTGCAGACCCCGGCCTGGGAACCTCGTATGCTCTTGTAAGCTCTTCGCTGCTTTTTCTTCTTAATAAACTTTACATTTTGGAATAATTTTAGATTTATAGAAAAGTTGCGAAGACGGTACGCAGAGTCCCTGAATATCCTTCACTCTGTTTCCCCTAAGGTGACATCCTACATAACCATGGTACATTTTTCAAAACTAAGAAATTAACATGGGTACATTGCTATTAACTAAACTGCAGACTTTATAAATATTCCACTAGCTTTTCCACTAATATCTTTTCTCTGTTCTGTGATCCAGTCAAAGATACTGCATTGCAGTTAGCCTTCGATGGTTTTGAGAAAAATTTTAAAATACGTATCTGTTTCACCAGCTTCTAAGGGAAGCCAAGGCTAATTGCCCATTAGAGCCCTTCCCCACCATTTTCTTGTCATTCTTAGAAGTAAAAAGTCCTTATAACAGTGCCCATTAACAACTTGAAAGGCAGTCTTCAGGTTTGTTTCGGGGGAGGAAGTTGAAAAATTGAGTTTGCAACTGGCTGGGGATGGGAGGGCTGTGGGTAGAATGGAGAATGGAGTGTATGAGAGAAAAATTAAAACTTTGTGGAGGGCTATGTTACCACAACAAACAGACTGCAAGATTTCTGCGGCTAAACACGGAGAAGTCTCTGTCTTGCGCACGCCAAGTCTGCTGCAGGCGTGGTGGCTGTCTAGGGCAGCTGTCTCCCAGGTGGGGGCTCAGGAGTCCAAGTCTCCTTGTCTGTGGCTCACTCCTCTTTGCTGAGAACACATCTCCCCTCTCCTGAGGTCTCCTTCCACGAGAGCCCTGCTGGTATAACATGCTCGGTCTCTCTCCACGCCTTTGCTGATTTGAGTGATGAATGTGGAAGGAGGAACAAGGCGTGTGTCACCCAGCCCTTTCCTTCCCTCTCCCTGGGGAGCTGGTCTACCTGCAGAGAGTCTGTGTTCTGCCTGCTACACCACACCTTCCTTACCTTGAACGTCACAGGGACAGCCCCAGCCCAGGGTTGGGGGAAGGGGACTGCCATTTTACAGCACTGCCTATGACTGCATAAAGTCTACCTAATTCTGGGGTTCAGCATTAGGAAGCCTACTCTCCCATATCCAAACCCTTGTTGCGACACCCGCAAAACCACAATTACACAAAAGTACACTTGTTTATTCTGTAGATTTATTCATCATCTAAGGCAGTGGTTCTCAACCCAGAATATTTTTGCCTCCCAAAGGGACATTTGACAACAGCCTGGAGACATTTTAGATTGTCACAGCTGGGGAGAGAGAGACTCCTACTCTAGCATCTAGCAGGTAGCAGCGAGAGATGCTGCTAAACACCCTATAAAGCTCAGGGCAGCCCCCAACAACAGAGAATTATCTGACCCAAAATGTCCATAGTGCTGAGGGTGAGGAACCCTGCTCTAAGGGGACAAATTACCATCTCAGACCAGCTGAAGTGACTTAGTCTCAGCAAGTCCAAACCAGAGAGGAACTGGACCAGGATGACCATCTGAGACCAAGCACCTCAGTCCCCTCATCCCTGCCACTGTGCCCCCAGGCCCCGCCGACCCGCTCTGGAGCACACAGAGCCCTTCCCAAGGATGCGACGAGGCTGCCGCCAGCCCTCCAGCCCTCTGGCCCTGTTGCCCTTCCCAGGCATGGTGATCCGGGTGTGAAGCAGGCCACTAGGGTCCTCTCCTCTCAGATCCCCAAACCCGCCATGCTGGTGTATCCCTTGGCCCCATCCATGCCAGGGTGTGGCCTGCGGGTAGAACCAGGTACAGGGCCCAGACCAGCACCTCCCTGATGCCCCCTCTCCAACTCTCCACTTCCCGGCCTGGCAGATCTGTTTCCAACAACGTCCTCAAGCCCGGCTCCTGGGCTGGGTGTGGGGCTGGTGGGGTGCAGGGGGAGGACGTTCCCATTAGACTCTACACACTATATAAATAAACATTTAGTAACACCTCCCTTACTCTCCTGAAATGACAATCATAAATAACATGCCTTCTCATGCGCTTAATTTTTTAAAATCTCAATATAATGCCTAAGCTGTACTAGGAAGAAAAAATAGAAGGAAACCAATTTATAACCAAATAACACATATTTCAATATGCCAGTGCTCAGGGCCCATGACACTAGAAAACATAATGAAGTGCCAGATGCTTGTCCCCACTTATAATAATTTTATTTAAATCCAATAGGATTTAAGAAAAGTAGAAGATTGGAAATTATTCTGTATAAGGACAAAAATAAATAAAAGAGCAGAGATAAACTGTCAAATGCAACAATAAATATTATTTTTATCTCTGTGGGGTTTTTTTTGTTTGAGGAGGTTGTTGGCTGTTTGTTTTGAAACAGAGTCTCAACGACTCTGAGTGCAGTGGCATCATCCTAGCTCACTGCAACCTCGAACTCCTGGGCTCAAGTGATCCTCCTGCCTCAGCCTCCGGAGAAGCTGGGACTACAGGCACACACCACAATGCCCAGCTAATTTTTCTTTTCCTTTTTTTTTTTTTTTTTAGTAGAGACTGGGTCTCTCAGAGTGCCAGGATTGCAAGTGTGAGCCATTGTGCCCAGCCAATCTGTGTTTTTTTAAACTGCAAAAACGGATTCTCTTTTGTAGTCTGTACATGCAAAACAAAAGGAAGTCAGGTTCTGGGCTGAGATCATGGTACCAGGGTTTTCACCAACATGAACAGCTGCTCCTGCCCATTAAATGGCAGCAGAGCTCCCCAATCATCGTGAAACCAAAGCACATCCCCCCACACTAACTCACACACACACAACTTCCCTTCCCAGAACCAGAGTTAATGCTTTAAATATTAACCTGCCAAGTGGGTAGCATTCCATCTGTACATTTGGAAGAATATATGCCAAAATATTAAAGGTGATTTTCCAAGGCAGAAGGAGAATTACAGGAAACATTCTCATCCTTATTTTACTTTTTTAGAGACAGGCAGTGGGCAATCTTGCTATACTGCCCAGGTTGGTCTCGAACTCCTGCCCTCCAGCCATCCTCCGGCCTCAGCCTCCTGAATAGCTGGGAGTACAGGCGTGAGCCACACCACCGGGCTTTTTACATTTCTGTATGGTGTAAAATTTTGCTTACAGCCTATTTGAACTTTGCAATCAGAAAAAAAAAAATGACAGCTATTTTGGAAACTGATGAGTCAGGGCTCCGTCTAGCGTGCGTGTTTTCCTGTTCCTCTCAAGGAGGACTCAAATCTGCTGTGGGGAAACCACTAATTCGCTTTTTCAGACTCAGCGGGTTTCAAGTCCAGCCTTGCTGGGCGGCTCAGCCCTGCTTCGTTCAGCTCTGCCTGCACCGCCTCCCTGTGGCCAAGGGCGGTACGACGCCCTCTGGAGTCGGCCAGGGTGGGGCAATGGGCCCTGCCACAGGGGCCCTAAGCTCTCTCTGTACCACCGACCACGTGGCAGTGCGGTGAAGCTTATGGAGCCCCCGCTCAGAATAATGGCCCAGAAATACATAAAATAAAACACATATGCTTAAAAGCAGTAACAGCGAAATGGTTATCAAACTATTAAATATTTATGGTTGTGCAATATAGTAATAAACGTGCTTCGTTATTAGTGCTTTAAATAACCAGCTCTAGTGGCAGGTCTACTAACCAATGATTTTCCAAGCAGTGAGGAGTATACACAGTGTTTGGAGATATGGGAAACCACTTGATATGGTTGTTTGTTTTGCTTGTTTGTTTGTTTGTTTGTTTGTTTAAGAGACAGGGTCTCCCTCTGTCGCCCAGGCTGGAGTGCAATGGGGTGATCATAGCTCACTGTAGCCTCCAACTCCTGGGCTCAAAGCGATCCTCCTGCCTCAGCCTCCAGAGTAGCTGACAGTACAGGCGCGCGCCAATTTCTTTTACCTTAAATTTTTTTCTTTTTTCTTTTTGTAGAGATGGGGGTGGCTCTCAAGCGATCCTCCCTTCTCGGCCTTCCAAAACCCTGGGATTACAGGCGTGAGTCACTGCACCCGGATTTGGGATTTTTGCTGGTAAGAAAGTTACAGGTACTGCTAACACTACACTCCTAACGGGAAAAGCTAAATATAACAGGTTTGTCAAAGTCAATATGTTAATTTCTTCTCATCCAAATTCATGGACTCCCTGAGTTCTACTCACAGAGCTTGTGGGGTACATGGCCCACAGGTTGAGGCCCCTGGAAGGGGCGGAGGTGGGGAGAGGTTGGCATGGGTTCTCGGGCCCAGGAGGTCAGCAGCAGCGCTGAGCACTCAGTATACGGAAGGCAGAGGCCAGGCGTGCAGAGGGGGACCCGCACGGCCCCTCCCATCCCTTCCGCATCCTCCTGGAGGAAACTAAAGCCCTGCGTGGCCGGGAGGGGAGCTCACACTTCCTGACGTCTCTTCCCGAGGTGTCCAGCGCCCACCATGCGGCCCCTGGTCCTGCTGTGGGGCTGCCTGGTGCTCCCAGGTGAGATGGGGAGGGCGTCGTGGGAGGGATGTGGGGCTCACACCCAACCTTGCCTTTGGGTCTGCAGAGGAAGGACCTCTGGGGCCATCATTTCCTTTCCCCAATGTGCATGTAGCTGTGACCATCCCCAGCGCCCGGTCGTTCCAGGCTTCACCCCACCCCACGCACCCTCAGCCTCAGGTCTCATAGGGAGTCCTTGCTGTTTCTGAACCCCACCGCCAGGTTTTGTCCGCCTGTGGGTTCCGATTCCTTTATGGCTGTGTGGCTGCCAGAGTAGCTTTACCTCTCTAACCTCCATTCCCTGCCCTGCACCACGCCTGGAGGCACACAAGACAGCCCCCACTCCCAATCTGGTTGCCCAGCAGGCATCTATTGAATCTCTTTCTCTACCTTTGAACACTTAAAATCAGGCTGTGTTTTAGAACTGATTGTCAGTTGTTCAATTGGCCATGTTGTTTCTTAGTGGTATATACGATTATGGTATGTCTTATATATGATGGCATCTTAAATTCAGTGACATAGGGCATCATTATCTATAAATGAGAAAACTTAGAGGCCCAAAAAGTCAAGCATCTTCCCCCCGGGTCTTAGAGCTAAGTGGCAGTGCCGAGATTCAAACTCCCCCCACCTCACCCCTGCCCTGCAACCCTTCAATGTGCCAGGGTTAGGGAAACAGGAATAGGGCTGCCCCGAGGTTTCCTAGGGGGGAGGGGAGTGCTGGCTCTTACAGGGCTGTCCCCAGAAGGAGTTTCGAAGGAAAGCCTTCCTTCTTCCCCACAAAATGGAAGCTTCTGGTCTTGACCCTGATACTTGGATCCTGGGGATTCCAACCTCCAGCCCTGCTGTGGTTTCAGGTTATGAAGCCCTGCAGGGCCCAAAGGAGATCAGCGGGTTTGAAGGTGACACAGTGTCCCTGCAGTGCACCTACTCGGAAGAGCTGAGGGCCTACAAGAAGTACTGGTGCCGGCAGGCCGGGTTCCTACTCCTCCGCTGCTCCGGCATTATCTACGCGGGAGAAGAAGGCCAGGAGACGACACAAGGCAGGGTGTCCATCCGAGACCGCCCCCAGGAGCTAGCCCTCACCGTGACCCTGCGGAACCTCACCCTGCAGGACGCCGGGAAGTACTGGTGTGGGGTAAAAAAACTGGGCTTCGATGAGTCTTTCCTGGTGTCTCTGTTAGTCTTTCAAGGTAACAAATGCCTCTCCTTCCCCTGGCTGTGGGCCAGGAGGTGCGGAGGGAAGAGGGCGGGGCCGTCAGACCTAATCTTGGCACTGACCTTGAGGGGCCTCTCGATGACTCGGGTCAAGTGTGGAGCAGTGTCAGGGCATTGGCGGGGCCGTTTGAGTCTCACCTGTTCTTTCACTCTTGCTGCCCAAGATCAGGCCACTAGTAGAAGGCAGAGCAGGGTGGAACCCACATCTGTCCAGGACTATGGTCAGGGTCCTTTCCTCTCTGCCCAGATGTGCCAGAGGGAAATTGCCGTGGGTTGGGGACAAGATGGACATCTCAGGGAATACAGAAGACTCACTGCCTGAGGCCCCTGAGGCTGGGCCAACCATTGCATTATCCCTACCCAGCCCACAGCATCACGTAAGCGCTGGCCACGCTGGCCTCTCCCTGCTTGTGGCCCCAGCTCCCCTTCTTTGCCCTCCTTGTCCCCAGATCTTGAAGTCCAGGGACAGGTTCTGGGGTGCCTGGCAACCAGCCTCTGGGTAGGATGCCTGAGGGAGGGTCTTGCTGAGCTCAGGGACACTAGAGACAGGGGATAAAGCACCTGTCTGAGTACCTGGAAACCCACCTGGGCCTGCTGAGCTAAGGCGAAAGAAGCCAGGGAGAGCCCAGGGGAGTGGGAGCCCCAGCTGCTGGTCAGTGAGGGCCAGATAGGTCTTTATAGCCCCATTTCACAGATGGCAACTGAGGCTCTGAGAGACTAAGTGATTTGTCCAAGTGATTTGTCCTCATGACAGGAATCGGCAGAGCCAAGATTCAAATGCAGGTCATTGCTGGCTTTGGTGTCTGCTCTTTCCCTCTCCTGGCCTCATAGCTGGGACTTATCCCAAACCCAGGCCACATCCCCGTCATCATGGGTCTTTATTTTAATTCAGGGAAACAAAGTTAAACTCACCAAATAATAACAGTAGCATCAAACCACATTGAATCTGTTCTCCATTATTTACAAGATTCTCTGATCTCTTCCAATCTTACCAGTATTCCCATGTCATTTTTACCTAGTTATGATCAATTTTACCTATATTTGAGGCTCTCCTGTGTTCTATACTTACCCTCATTAATAATTATTTATTTGTGCATGATATATGCATTATCCCCCTGTGTCAGATCTTGTCGGCCTCTGATGACAGTTGGGATGTTGAAAATGAAGAAGACTGGCAGAGGCGTGCTGGTCAATGTTTAGCAACAGGCGAGGGTGCTCTAATTTACAGTGTTTGCCAATTTCTGTGGTGTAAATGCTCCTGCCATGGCCAATTTCCAGCCATCGACAGTTTAACAGCTGTCTCGCAAAATTCCTGAACAGTTAACAGTTCGCTCTTGGGAGCCATCGTGAGCCATCTCCAGCACCCCACTGAGTGTAGTGAAACGTTAGAAGAGTTTCTGGGAGGGTCAGAGCTAGGCAAATGTGATTTCTTTTATTCATCTTCACCTTGGAGGCCCTAGGCAATGAAATATGACACGATAAAGAAGTATAAATATTGGAAAGGAAAAAATAAATACTCTTTATTTGCAAAAGATTTGGATCATCTACTTAGAAAAATCCAAGAATAAACTGACATAGTATTACAGATTGAGTATCCCTAATCCCAAAATCCAAACTGCTCCAAAATCTGAAGCTTTTTGAGCACCAACATGACGTCCAATGGAAATGTCCCTTGGAGCATTTCAGACTTCAGATTTCTGGATTAGGGTTGCTGAACCAGCAAATGCAATGCAAATATTCCAAAATTTAAAACAAAATATTGAAATCCAAATCATGTCTGGTCCCAAGCATTTTGGATAAGGGACACTCAGCCTATAGAATAGAGAATGAGGAGGCCACAGATGGACACCAGGGAGCGGGAGGCTCAGCAGCTCCTGGGGGACTGGTCACACCAGGTTTCTACCCACTGTGCTGGGCACGGAGGATCGGCGTTTGGTCCTTGAGGAGTCCCAGCCTAGTGGGAAGACCCCCTAAACCAGTAACTGCGGTGTAATTGCACAGTAGCAGTGACGGAGGCACACACAGGGTACTGGGTATTGTGGGTGCCCAAAGGAAAGAGGGACTTGCTCCTTCTGGGGAAGGCATTACGGAGGAGTTGACTTTTGAGCTGGTGCTAAAGGTGGGAAAGAAGCGTGTTAGGCAGAGATGGAAAGGCGAGGGAGGCGTCACACGCTAAGGAGCAGCATGTCAGAGGCAGGGGGTGGACAGCAGGCTCGCTTAACAGGACAACCCTGCACCGAGCCCCCACTGGGGAAGAGGTGAGGCTCACAAGGTAATTTGAAGTCTGAGTTTAAAAGGCCTTGAGTCCGGGCGTGGTGGCTCATGCCTGTAATCCTAGCACTCTGGGAGGCCGAGGCGGGCAGATTGCTCAAGGTCAGGAGTTCGAAACCAGCCTGAGCAAGAGCAAGAGCCCCGTCTCTACTATAACTAGAAAGAAATTAATTGGCCAACTAAAAATATATAGAAAAAAATTAGCCGGGCGTGGTGGTGCATGCCTGTAGTCCCAGCTACTCAGGAGGCTGAGGCAGGAGGATCGCTTGAGCCCAGGAGATTGAGGTTGCTGTGAGCTAGACTGACGCCACGGCACTCACTCTAGCCTGTGCAACAAAGCGAGACTCTGTCTCAAAAAAAAAAAACAGCCTTGAAAGGCGTGCTAAAAAGTGTGAACTTCGGTGTATAGGCAATGGGGCCACCAACTGTTTTGAAGCAGGGAGGGCGGAGGATGTGATGGGACTCAATATAGACCTGAGAGACCAAGTGGCACCAGTGAAGGGTGGCATGGAAGGGCAGGCTGAGGGGCCAGGGAGAGGGTGGGGTGATGGTGCTGTCAGAGCTGAGGGTCTAAGCTAAGCAGGAGGCCAAGGGGGCTGCAGGAGGGGCAGACCCCGATCAGCAGGAATCGGCCCTGGTTGGCGGAGGTGAGAGGATGGCAGTGGTCCGCGCTGAGGTCGGGGGTGGGAAAGCAGCTGGCTGCTCCCAAGGAAGGAAAAGGGGTGCAGAGCAGTGACCCGTGCAGCCCCTGAGAGCAGCCTGTCCCTTTCCTCTAGGGCCCTGTTGTCCTCCCTCCCCCACTCCCTCCTTCCAGCCTCTTGCTACAAGGAGCCCGAAGCCCAAGGCAAAAGCTTGGCAAACACAGCCCCCAGAACCGAGTGAGTGAATGGTTCTTCCGTCCCTCCTGCCCCCCAGGTACAGAAACACCCACTCAGGGCCTCCCTGGTGCCAGCTGCTGCGCTTCATGCCTGGGAGCTGCATTTTCCAGCTGTGGAATTGGAGGCTCAGTGGGTTAGGTCACTCGCTCAGTGTCGCACGGGCAGCAGCAGAGCCCAGAAGTGGTCACAGCCTGACCCCAACGACCATGTTCTGTCTGCTCCATCCAGGGTCTGGGGGACAAGCTAGAAGGGCCAGGTCTTGGTCCCCGACCTCTGCACTTTTCCCTGCCACCCTGCCCTGCCTGTCCTCATGGCTGTTGATGGCGGGCAAGGCCCTGGTGGGGCGTGGTGAGGGGGAGCCAGCATTGGATGGCGATAAGAGGGCCCGCCCTTCCGGTGAAGAAGGAGGTGACAATTGGCCAGGACTGGAGGAGGAGGATGGGAAGGTGTGGTCATTGAGTGGTCATTGTAATGGGTCATGGATGTAGGGGTGGGATGTGATTGTACCCCCCACAGAGCGGACAGGCTGTGGCACAGAGAGACTCAACACTGTGCGCAGGTGTGGGTGTGCGTGGTAGATGACGTGCTTGCTCCAGGTGGCTTCATCTGAGCCTGTTTGCTTACTGGGTTGTCCTTTAGCTAGGGTTGTTCTGAGAAATTGGTCTTGGGGAGGCTAGGGGTCAGGGGTCAAGGGTCAGAGGTCTGGGGATGCTAGGATTTTAAGGGTCAGGAAAGGTGCTGAGGCACTGCTTTTGGACTTGTAGCTTCTCCTGGTCGCTACCCGACAGTCACCACAGCCAAGCAGGGGAAGACAGGGGCTCAGGCCTCTCCGGTCACAGGGACCTCCCCGTATGGGCACGCAGGACCCTCCCTGCACACAGGAACCTCTCCTCACGCAGCGACCTCTCCTCACGCAGGGAGCTCCCGCCCAACTATGCAGCTGGACTCCACCCGGGCAAAGGACACCAGGTCTGTTCCCAGCAGGAGCATCTCCAAGTCCAGGTGAGCCCGAGGTGACCAAGGTCACCTTTCAGGCCATCACTAAACCATAAGGTGTCTTTGAGCAAATAAGAACCGACACTCCTTCCTCCAAGTGGACACACCCTCTTGTCATGTCCACAGCCTGCAGCACAGAGGGAAGATTTCAGTCCCCATTCACCAGACATAGGGGCCCTTGAGCAGTGGACAACCTGCACTACAGGACCCAGCAGCCCTGCTGTACCAGATTCAGGCCCATCCAAGGAGAAGGTCCACCACGGCCCTAATCCCCACCAATCTTGCTGCCCCAGCCTCAGGGACGGCCACCCAGTTCAGTAGCTTTTGCCAGTACACTTTGCACTGAGTCCTGTGTCAAGCATGAAAATATGGAATCTAAAAGAAAAAAATGTTTTTCCTTACCCAGCTGCAGTCCCAACCTGAAGGATCAGTGCAGGGGGTTATAACCGCACTCAGTTACTGACATCCAGGCAGCCGCTGGCCGGTTCAGGCCCAGCTAAAAGTGAATCCAATGCTGAAAGTTCAGCAATGGCGGGGAGGGGGGTTCCTTCCAACCAGTTAGGGCTGACCAGGCATCAGGGCCCTGTGCCCTCTCATCTCCCAGGAGAGACAAGGGACAAGGCTGGACTCAGAAGAAGATACCATGTTACCCACGTGCCAGTGATGCCAACCCCCATACAGGCCCTGGAGAACTCCCTGCACACCACCGGGCTTAATCTCCTCATGTGTCGGTCTCCCCCGTGCGAAACACAGGGTCGTGGAATTTAACAGCTAACGCTGACGTAGCAAATGGCGAGTGTCAGGCCCTGGACTAAGCACTTTACATATCCCAACCTGTCTGGTCCTCATGACAGCCATTTTACAGAGAAGGAAATGGACCCCCTGGGAGATTTAGTCACTTGCCCAAGGTCACCTATCTAGAAAGTGGTGGACATAGAGTTTGAAGCCAGGCAGCTCAGCTTCAGGGTCTGTGCTAATTAAATAGCATATGTCAAGCGCCAATGGCAATGAATGCTCTGCCAGCCTTTGCCGCATTGATTTGGGTTCACACTAGGGGTTGGCTTTCTCGGTCTGTGCCTGGGACCCCAAGGGTCATAGCCTTTGGCTTGTCTGATGACAGCCACTAGGCTCCTTTCTTCTCGCCTCCAGGGTGTCCATCCCGCTGGTCCGCATGTTGGCCCCGGTCCTGGTGCTGTTTGGCCTTTTGCTGGCCACGGGCCTGATCGGCCTGGGCAGCCGCATGCTCCGCCGGAGAAAGCAAGGTGAGCGACAGCCAATGGGAGAAGGGTGGGACATGGCTGAGCCAGGGCCTCACTGGGACCCGCAGCCGCCCCCAACCCTGGAAAGACCTTGTGGGCCCCAGCGTGTCTGTCTGAGATACGGGCATCGGGAGCCCTACTCCTCCTGCTGAGCAGTCGACATCAGGAAGGAGCAATGCAGACGGGGGAGTGGGAGCGTGGAGGGGTCCTCGGCTTCTTCCTGTCTGCCGAGCCCAGCAGTCTCTTCTCTCCCTGTCCCTCCCAGTCTCTTCTCTCCCTGTCCCTCCCAGTGAATCCACCTCCCGCCTCTGCAGCGCCAGCTTTTGTAGCGGACTGACTGCAAGGGGGAACGCAGGACTGAACACTTGAACTTGAGCAGGGCAGATATTGTGGCCCCATTCCTGCCACTGCATCTCTAGAGGTGCTCAGTCCTTTTCCCAGGTTTGGGTTCAAATCCCAGCTCTGCCACTTTTTAGCTGTGTGACCTCGGGCAAGTCATCTAATTGCCCTGAGCTTCAGTTTTCTTAAATGATAGATATACATCAAACAGAAATAGCCATATATACAATTTAAATTTTTCTAGTGTGAGCAGACATGGTGGCTCACGCCTATAATCCTAGCACTTTGGGAGGCTGAGGCAGGAGGATTGTTTGAGCCCAGGAGTTTGAGGCTGCAGTGAGCTTTGATGACACCACTGCACTCCAGCCCAGGCAACAGAGCAAGACTTTGTCTCAAAAAAATAAAAATAAAAATAAATAAATAAAATTTTCCAGTAGCCACATAAAAAAAGTAAAAAGAAACTAGTGACCTTAATTTTAATAATATAGTTTATTTAACCCAATATATGCAAAACATCATCATTTCAACATAGAATCAATATGAAAATATTAATGATACTTGTTACACATCCATTTTTTTCAGATTGAGTCTTCAAAGCCTAATATAATTTGAAATCGTAACATTTCAGTGCCCCATGGCCATATGTGACATGTGGCTCCAGTGCTGGATAGCACAGATTTAAAGGATTGCCTGAAATAACAGCAATAAGAGTTACCTGTCTGCAGCCTGTGTCACTTATATCCTTTAATCTCCTCAACACTGCAGAGTACGCCCATTGTACAGGGGAGGAAACTGAGGCACAGAGCGGTTAAGCAGCTTGCCCTGTGCACTGTGTTTGCACAGCTAGGCAGTGGGGGAGCCAGGAAAGCATCTGCAATGTCGTCCCAGTGAAGGTGGTGGGGGCGGGGAGTCCTGGGCCTTGGAGCAACCCCAAGGAAGAAGTGTCTGCTTTGCCTACCTCCCCAGGTCCCCTCAGAGAAGTTGGAGAGGGAGCAGGCAGAGTGGGAGCACTCCCGGTCACAGCCTCAGAGCTACTTAGCACCTTGCCTCTCAAACTGTGGTCCCCAGCTAACGGCAGTGGCATCCGCTGCTCGCCAGTTAGAAATGCAGACTCTCAGGCCCCACCTACTGAATTAGGATCTGCATTTTAAGAAAATTTCCAGGGGTTCCTGTACACACATTAAGGTTTGAGAAGCAATGACATTAGTACTCAGATTTCTTTCCCCAGCCAGCTTCCGGCCCTCACCAGGTGATCCCCACGTACTGATCGCAGAAGGCTGCGTCATTCCCGAGGGCTGAGCTGTAAGGGCCTCCTCTGCCCGCCCTGCCTGCCAGCTGCCTCTGGGCATGCCCTTCCCCTGGGTGTAGGGAGGCCAGTCCACCTCTCTGGGAGCAGCTACAGGCCACTCCTGGCTACTCCTAGCTTCAAGGTGCTCGTTTTGTGTCTCTTTCAGCCCAACTGGCCGTGGAGACACAGCGGAATGAGAAGGTCTACCCCTCACACTTGGTAAGAACGGGGGCAGCCAGAGCCCAGGCTCAGATCCCCTTGGGGCTGGAAGTCAAGATGCCTGGGCCTGCCTCTGGGTCTTGCTACCTACCTGGTCCTCCATGTCTGACCTAGAGACCAGGCTTGCTCCCCAGCCTGGAGGAATTTGTGTGAGCCCCAAGACCAGCCCTTCGGGGTGTGGGCCCGATGGAGTGCCCATCCTCGCCACCAAGTGCCAGGCAGGGTGTGCACAAGGAGCCATGCGAGCACCCCCACCCCCAGGCCAGCACCTTCCTCCTCCCCTCCCCCTTTAGAATCAGACAGCCTCAAAGCCAGATCCAGAGGAAGCGTTCTATGAGTCTGAAGCAAAAACCCTCTTCACCGCACCCGGGGATCAGGGAGCTGTTAGACACGCACTTTCCCAGGCCCCAGTTCCAACAGAACCCCATAGAGGTAGTTGCTAGTGCTTTTGCAAAAGATGAAACGGAATCCCAGAGAGGGTAAGTTCTTGCCCCAGGTCACACAGGACCCACATTTCTCAACTCCCTGCTCTCCTCTTTCCAGAACACCCTGATGTTTTCTCCGAGCCGTCCAAGGGGGCATGGCTACTCTGGGACCCAAGCTGAGGCTGGCACTCTGGGGACCAGGGGGCAGAGGGAATGGGGGTCCCAGTCCCCATCTTCCTGGAGCAGGGAACCTGCCCCAAGGCTACTCCTGCTGGAGGAGTCCCTGCCCTCCCATGCCAGCACTCTTGCTGAGGGGCCTGCACACTCACACCTCAGGAAACAGAACTCCCTCCCCCCTCGCCGGCCCCCTCCCCCATCTGTTTACTGAGATGCCTCCACTCTGATTCTCTTAAATGGGAGGGCAGGAAAGGGGGCTACCATTGCCTTCTTTCCTGGCGCCAGTAAGGACAAAAGACCCAGGCCTGATTCCCCCAGGGAGGGTTTGAAGTGGGAATAGGATCCTGGGCTTAGGAAGCAGCCGATGTTGTCTCAGGAAGCTCAACAAGGCCAAAGGTGGTGGAAGGGACTGAGGGAAAAGTCATGGAGACAGGCGGATGGATGGACAGGGGTCACAATGGCCCCTCCAGAGCCCGCCCTTGGCTGTGCGTCCTGGGGCCTGGGGCTCATGCCACCCAACTCCAGAAGAGGGGCTGGGTATGGGGAGGCCAAGGGCACCTGTACCAGCCACACTGTCCCACGATGCTGCCTCCGTCCACTCTGGGAATGGCTGCCTTGGACTTTTTCCTGCCCATGGCACCTGGCCCTGACCCGACTGAGGCGAGAGGGGACAGGAAATGGCACAGGACCAGTGGGCAGAAGGGCTCTAGGGGACAACCCCTTGTTGGGGAAAGATGGAAGGGCCCCCCCAAGAGGGCCCACACTGGAGCTTAGTGTTCTTTCCCTCCTTGCCCCTCCCTGCCTTGCCCGCCCCCTCCCACGTGTCCTTCTTCTTGCCTGGGCTCAGCCCGGCTCGAGACCATCTCTGCTGCCAAGAACGGGCTGTTCTGACCGCGTCTCTGTTACAGCCGCTCGGGAATGGCCGGGACCCAGAGGACACTGTGATCCACCTCACAAGGCCCACTGGGCCCCTCGCCAGACCCGAGCCCTCTGCTCTCTTCTACTCGGAGATCCAGGACCCGAGCCAGGTGTGGACAGAAGGGCCTGGGGGTCTGGGGCCACCTAACCTGACTCCACTCTGACAATGCTAGGAAGTTGGGGAGGTTCTTTCCTCAGCAACTGCTCCCCACACTCCACACGCCTGCGCCTGCCCACCCACCCCACTGTAGACACGGCCCAGGCTGTTTTACCCAACAAGCCAGGGTTCTTGGCCTCATAGCCTCTTTTTATCTGGTCCAGAAAATTCCTGCATAGCTTGTTGGGAGTCAGGGCTCAAAGAGCCCTGGGGTGGCAGGATGCCTGCCCACAGCTGCGGCCAGAGCCTGGCCCGAGGCCTCGAGGGTTCTGCCCTGGGAGGGGTGGACTGGGGTTCCGGGGAGGAGAACCTGTTAGGTCCCGTGCCCCTGTGGGTAGACGGAGGCCCGGACTTGTGGGAAAGGCTGGGGTGGACAGTGCGGCTACCTAGAGACCACCCCCAGCCGGTGCTCCCCACCCCCACTGTTGTCTTCACAGACTACGGAGGAAGAGGAACCCCCTTCCCAGGACCTCGAGGGGGACATGATCCCAGTGCCTCCCTTCCACATGTCTGAGGAGGACCTGGGCTTCTCCAAGTTCATCTCCGTGTAGCTGCAGAAGGCCCTCCTGGCTGGGCAGCCGTGGAGCTGAACAGTGGGTCCTGCAGTGGCTCCCACAAGCTCTCTGCCTTTCTCCCCACCCTCCCATGCTGTCCTCCTGCCTGCGCCAGCCTCAGCTAGAAGCATCTGTCAGCCCTGGAGCCCGGAGTGGTGGCCTCACAGTTCCAGCTAGAGACTGGGACTTGCCCACGTGTCCACCCCTGAGCAGCGCACACAGCTGCTGGAGCCTCCCGGGGCCGGGCAAGGCTCAGCAGGTCTGGTCCGAGCTTGTGTCTGCTCCAGGAGACCCCTGGAGCCTGGGTGCCAGCGTCAGCCCCACTGTCCTCCCTTCTCCTCTCTTCCTGGCACCTGACTCGGCACCATGCTCCTGCACCAGCTGGGAACGAGGCGGAACGTGCTGGGGTCAGATCGGATTCTGGACTCTCAAAGCGTGGCTATGAACCACCTGCATCCCAGCCCTCAAGGGGCTGTTAAAAATGTAATTCCTGATCCACCAAAGCCATCTCTGAGGCTGGGCCCAGGACTCTGCATTTCTAAAAAGCACCCCAGCAATTCTTACATTCGAGTTTGAAGACCAGCCGGCCTGATGAATGCTCAGACCCTTGCAGCTTAGAGTCTACATGAGTAGGGGTGTGGGGTCCCTCGCTTGCCCCATATACTGTCTGCTCTGTCCACAGCACCGTGACCCGGTTGGGGGCTTCCCTGGCTCCCCCCTGAGTCCCGGCCCAGGCCAGAAGCACAATAGAAGGGAGTGGCTGCCTTTCCATTCCCCCTGCCCCGCCGGGCATTCCTGTCTTTGCAAGAATGGTGGAGGAAACCTCGGCTCCTTCCTTGTCTAGGAAGGGTCACTGCCAGTGGGTTTTGGTGGCTGGGGTGAGGGTCTAAAAGGGAGGAGGGAGGGGACAAGGCAGGAACCTGAAGGTGACCCTGAGTCTAGTCCCCTAGAGAAGGGGTGGGAGGTGTGGGTATCATAACAGAGCTACTGGGTTTTTTTCCTTTTGCTATTTTCTTTAAAAAGTGATATGGGGGTTGCTCAGTATGCAAAACTTAGAAAGATGAGGAGAAAAAAAAAGAAGGAAGAAAACAAAGTCATCCATAGTCTCACTCCTCTCCAGGGACAATCATTATTTCACCTCGTTGTATTTCCCTCCACTCTTTTTTTCTCCATATAATTTGCTGGTGTTCTTTTTACAGAATAATTATCTTGTATGTTCAATTTTGCATCTTGCTTTTCCCGCTTAATTATTCCATCATAAGCATTTCTCCGTGTTTTACAAACCTTTTATAAATAAAATGTTCATCAGCTACATAATATTTCATCCTATCAGTGTGCCTCAATTTATTTAACCAATTCTCTATCATGCAATATTTAATCTGTTTCTATTTTTGCTGTTATAAATAACAGTGTAGTGAATCTTTGCCTGGGGCTTTATCTGGATTTTGAGATTTCTTAAAGAAGGGCTTACATGCTTGGAAGTGCCAGGTTGCAGGGAGCGGACATTTTTGAAGTTACTGGTGCCCATTGCCAAACACAGCTTTCTAGAGTGTTACTCACACCAGGGGCTTTCAATCACCTTTTCTCAAAGTCCTCACCAGCCTCTGCACCTGTCCCTGCAGCTCAGTAATGCCCCTGTTGTCAGAGCCTCGAGGGCCCGGGGGGCTGGGTGGAGGTGGAGCCAGTCCAAGCTCACCAGAAGGTGCCAGCCAGTGCCCAGGCCCCAGGGGCAGGGTACACACCTCTTACCTTCTCCTGGAGGGAGAGAGCGCTCAGGCCTGAGCTCTGCGGGCTCTGCCCAGGTTCCAGGCGCTGCATGTGCCAGATGTTGGGGAGGTAGGGAGCAGCAAGTTTCAGGTGGTCTCAGAGAGTCCCTAACAGTGCATTCTAAGCAGGTTTTCCCCTTGAAAAGCCCCTCGGCTGGGGAAAAGCCCCAGCACTGGAGGCAAAGAGCCAGGGCTTCCAGGGGACCAGGAGGTGCTCAGCTCGATCATCCCACTTCTACCCCTGCCTGTTCAAAGGCTGCGTCCCAACTAAATAAATTGCCGTCTTTCGTGAGACAGAGCTCTCTCCAAAGCTAACTAGGATTGGCATCCATGGATTCCCAAGTTTCAGTGGACTTAGCAGACACTCATTGTCACTCGTAGACTCTCCCTGTACTCTCACAGTGCTATCGAGATGCCCCAGCAACATGCAACAGGCAGGGGACAAAGACCACTCCCTTACCAGTTGCCACTTTGCAATCCCCAGTTTTGATTGGTTTTATATGTGTACACCAAAATAGTCAGATCTGCATTCTTTGTGCATATGTGCAATTCTATTCGATACCCTTAACAAAAGAACACGATGAGTCACTGTTCACCCATCCTGAGGACAAGGGTTTCTAGTTCAGGGACTTTTGCTGGGAGGTAAAGCTTCAGAAAAAAATGGGAGACTATCAGAGTTTAGTTTTGCCAAATTGGGATAATAAATGTAACAATAATAAACTATAATAAACCATTTAATCTGTTTCCTCAAAAGAAACATTTTAACACCAAACAGGTATATTGATAGGAAAAACGGATGAATTGAGGCCTCATTCTCCACCTCTCCCCTGGCAAAGAATTGGATATCATGATTCTAATCCACTGAGGTCCATTAAGGAGAGATTTCATAAATTCATCCAGAAGGTGGATGAGGGGGAGGGAAAGTGGAACGCCCATACCATGTGCAGTGCGCTGGGATGTGCTTTGGGGGCGTCTCACCCAAAAATGAACTTTAAGAAGCAACTTAAAAAAAAATTTTGTTGAGACAGAGGCTCTGTCACCTGGTTAGAGTGCAGTGGCATCATCACAGCTCCCTGTAGCCACAAACTCCTGGGCTCAAGCGATCCTCCTGCCTCAGCCTCCCTTGTAGCTGGAACTATGGGCATGTGCCACTACCCCCAGTTAATTTTTCTATTTTTTGTAGAAATGAAGTTTTGCTTTTGCTCAGGCTGGTCTCGAACTCCTGAGCTCAAGCAATCCTCCCGCCTAGGCCCCCCATAGTGCTAGGATTACAGGCGTGAGCCACCACGCTGGACCCCAAGGCCCATATGCAAGGGAGCATCTTTCTAGCTCACTAATCTCTTTTCAGCTTGTTTAATTTGCTATTAAACCATCCTCCCCCCAAAATTTTTATTTTAATTATTATATATTTTATTTCTAAAATTTCTGTATGATTCTCTTTCAAACCTGACTGGTTATTATAGTGTCTTGTTGCTTGTTCATTTTTATAATGTCATCTTTTATTTCATTAAACATTGTACATGTACATAGTTATTTTATATTTTGTGCCTAATATTGGAAAGCCTTGGAGATAGAAATATGTTGCTGTTTTTGTGGACTATCGCTCATTGTGGCTTGTTTCTCTGTGTTTTTTTCTTTTTTACTTTTCTTTTTTTTTTTTTTTTTTACCACTTTACTGCAGCTGCATATTAACAGATAATCTTTTTTTTTTGAGGCAGAATCTTGCTCAGTATCCCAGGCTAGAGTGCCGTGGCATCAGCCTAGCTCACAGCAACCTCAAACTCCTGGGCTCAAGCAATCCTCCTGCCTCAGCCTCCCAAGTAACTTGGGACTGACTACAGGCATGCACCACCATGCCCAGCTAATTTTTTCTATTTTTGGTAGAGATGGGATCTCGCTGTTGCTCAGGCTGGTTTCAAATTCCTGACCTTGAGGGATCCACCCGCCTCAGCCTCCCAGAATGCTAGGATTACAGGCATGAGCCACTGTGCCCAGCCTGTTTCTCTGTGTTTTGAAATCTCACATTATAAACTCATGTTTGGATGATCTTAATCTATAGACAATCTGGGGGCTGGAATTGAGTGTGCTTCCTCCTTCTGCCAGGTCCAGAAGGTGATTCCAATTTGGGACCAATTTGGCCCCTTCCTTGGTCCCCACCTTACCAGAATCTCAGGTGGCCTTAACTTGCTTCCTATTTATATTTAATTTTCCAAATGTGATGCTACTACTGGCATCTCCACCTGTTCTGTGTGCCCATCCACTCGACATGCCAGTGAGGGTTGTCATGTTTGGTTTTGTGGTCTCTAGAAGATTTCCCTTAACCCAGCAACACAATGAAAATTGTTTTATGTAGGATCTCACCATTTCGAAGCATAAGGTACCATGTTCACCACTCTGCCTGAAATAGAACCCTGGACTCCCATTGTCCAGCCACTGTGTAAGCCACGTAGATTTTTGTGTGACTCTAAGAAAGGGAAGACACCCTCCAAGACAGGACTGAGGTTTCCTTGCTTTCCACTCTGATGAGTAGGGGCTCAGGGGAAGATTTGACTCAAGTTAGAAAAATGCTGGAATATTTCTTACACCAGCATGGGATGGAATAAAAATCACCACATCAGAATAAAAGATAATCATTAAAATTAAATATGTTCAGCTTACTGAGAAACTTTCAGCGTTGTCCTTAATTTTCTCCTATTGCCACAGACAACGTTTGGGCAACATCACCACATGATATAAGGGAAGTTTCATGGGGAACTGCAGAGAGAGGAAGATCTGTTTCCAGAAGGAAGACTTAGCCCTAACAAAAATGGTGAGGGGGTCTTAACCACTTAGATAACTTGTGAAATTGTCAGGCACCGCGCCAAGACTTATGAAAGTGAAATATGAGAGGATACAAGTACAAACAACATCCAGGCTGGGCGCGGTGGCTCACACCTGTAATCCTAGCACTCTGGGAGGCTGAGGCGGGAGGATCGCTCGAAGTCAGGAGTTCGAGGCCAGCCTGAGTAAGAGTGAGACCCTGTCTCTACTAAAAAAAATAGAAAGAAATTAGCTGGACAACTAAATATATACTAAAAAAAAAATTAGCCGGGCATGGTGGCGCATGCCTGTAGTCCTAGCTACTCAGGAGGCTGAGGCAGGAAACAACATCCAGATGCTGCCTACACTGGACTTTCTCCCTCTTTGGCAGGGACAATGGTCAGAGGTGCACACGGATGCCCGACAGCCCTGGCACCCGACAGCCCTGGCACATCCGGCTCCCACAGAGCAATGTAGCTCCAAGATGGGCTTTTCCCAGGACATTGGCTGTCCCCAGGGGCTGCTCTCCCGCCACCTGAGAGATGTCCTTGGTGAAGCAGGTGGAACCTTTTCAATCATCAGCTCCGTCCTCTGGCAGCTTTCCACAGACGTTCCCTCAGGCTCAGTCTCACTTTCCAATTTCTTTTCTCCTTGCTTCCTTTGCATAAAATAAATTTTCAACTCACTCGTGACAATGGCTACCAATATATTATTTCATAACCGTCACAGTCATTACAGAAATTACCAAGTACTTCGAAATGGCGCCGTAGCTGATCTCAGGCGTGAAGCTGTAGTGGGGGGAGGCCGTGCTTGTGGGTCTGTCGAGAGAGTGTTTACACTCTTTATCTTCTAATGTAGTAATTCTCAAACTTAAACAAGCCTACAAACCACCAGGGAATCTCGTTAAACTGCAGACCCCCTGTCAATCTCGTTAAACACGGGGTGTTTCCTGCATTACAGATGTGTGCTCACTCCTCAGGAGACAATCCTGTATTTTCCTTTGCCTACTCTGCCTCTTCTGATGACTTTCTGACACTTAGTACCTTTTTAATATTTTACCTTTTAAATACATCAGCGTAATTAATATTGATGTATTAATGCATTCTTATTATACATAATTATATGGACACTACCAGAATGTTCTCCCCGCTGGCCCCGCCTTCTTCCTCCCGCCCCACCCGGACCCCCACGCCACTGTCCAGAGGTAAATATTGTTGGCATCAGTGCCGTGGAGCACGTGGCAGTTGAAGAGAAGGATTGGGAGTCTTGGGATGTGCAGGCCTGGGGAGCCCACGGAGCGGAAAGAAGAGAGAAAGCTGGAGGCAGCTCAACACAGAAGAGATTGGCTCATTACATTCCCATGTGTCCCCA